TAACTCTGGAAGACAGAAGTAATCAAATGCCCAGTTAAACGAAAACTCAAAACTATAATGTAAGAAAGTGTACAGTCCCTTTAAAAAGGTAAATAAATTAGGGGTAGGAGTAGGTAATAAACAGTTTTGTGTATTACCTGGGGAAATGTCTGCCTCCAAATTGGGGTGATGCCAGCAACCCAAAGAATGGCATATGCAAGCCTAGCATGATGACAAGGATGAGTTCATTCAGGGCTGCCTACAGAGTGGCAGACAACTACCCATTTACCTGGAGTCCACACCTACTGCCCATCAAATTCCTTTCTTTTTTTTTTTTTTTTTTTGAGACAAGGTTTCTCTGTGGAACAGTCCTGGCTGTCCTGGAACTCATTTTGTAGACCAGGCTGGCCTCGAACTCACAGAGATCCACCTGCCTCTGCTCCCAAGTGCTGGGATTAAAGACCTGCACCACCACCAACTGGCAATCTTTTTTTCCTTTCAGGTTCTAAAGCTACAGCAAAATTGGTACAAACCTGGGTTTGGGAGCGCCACCTAGTGTTACAACAATTACATGACTAAGTGCTCAGATAAGCTTAGACCAAAACAATGTAGCCCAGGCTGGCCTCGAACTCACAGAGATCCACCTGCCTTTGCCTCCCGAGTGCTGGGATAAAGAAGTGCGCCACCATGCCCCGACAGATGATAAATCTGAATGCCTTGTCTCCTGCATAATCTGTCAGTTTGTCCTGGGGAGCCCTCGGAAGGTAGTGGGAAGCCAGGCATGGTGGTGTGTTCCTGTAACCCCAGAATTTGGGAAGACCAAACAGTCACAAGTTCAAGGTCAGCCTGGGCTACGGAGTGAGCTCCTGCCTCAAAACAAATGAGCAAAATAGCAAGCAAGCAAAGGAATCAACACAAAAAGCCACCGGGAAATTAAGTCCAGTCAAGCATGGACTGGAAAAGCTGATTTCTAAGCTCTCTCAATAGGCACAGCCCTTTAAAATGTGTGGCCTGGCAGTCAAGACTTTCCCTTTAGAAAATCAAGCCTGGGACTGGGTTTGGAATAATTTTTATTCTTATTTTATTTATTTATTTATTTTTGGTTTTTCGAGACAGGGTTTCTCTGTGTAGCTTTGGAGCCTGTCCTGGGACTCACTCCGTGTAGCCCAGGCTGGCCTCAAACTCACAGAGATCCACCTGCCTCTGCCGAGTGCTGGGATTAAAGGTGTGCGCCACCATCACCCAGCAATTTTTTTTAAGGCATTTGAAGTCAGAGCCTCATAGCCAGCTCTAGCTACCACTACTTCCCTGTCTCTGGGATGCCCTTGGCCTAGAAATATTGCTCCCTGTGATCTCTCTCTCTCTCTCTCTCTCTCTCTCTCTCTCTCTCTCTCTCTCTCACACACACACACACACACACACACACACACACACACACACACACACACGCATGCTCTTCATTGGTATCTACCTACTTCTCTGACACATAGCTCCTAAAACCCTAAGCATTCCCATAGTGGTACACATCCTTTTATATGCTATTTTTATATGCTATCCAGATGACAGATACAGCTCCTGGCTAGCTCCTGCCCCTCAGTGTGATGGGCAGGTTACCAGGGGAACCAGCTCTGTAATTAGAAGCTTGGAAATGTCAACCCTCCTCCCCGCCCAACTGGGAGAGCAGAGTTGGGGATTCGTGAATAATAATCAATCCTGCCTGGTCAGGAGGTGGTGGCTCACGCCTTTAATCCCAGCACTCAGGAGGCAGAAACAGGCAGATCTCTGTGTTCAAGGCCAACGTGGTCTACAGAGTGAATTCCAGGACAGCCAGAGCTACACAGAGGAAACCCTCTCTCAAACAAACAAATAAAAATAGTCAATCATGCATGTGTGATGGAGCTTCCATACACAGTTCAAAGCTGAGACGTCCAGAGTGCTTCTGGATTGGTGTCCATGTGGAGGTAGAGGGAGCATGGCATGCCCAGAAAAGGCATTGAAACAAGCCCATTTTCACATGCCTTTTGCTATGTATGTCTTCCATCTGGCTGGCCTTCAGTTATACATAACCTTTCATAATAGACCAGAAATCCAGGGAACTGGTCTCAACCTCATGGTAATCCTCTATCCTCTTCCTCCCAAGTGCTGAGATTACAAGCACATACCACTGGGCCCAGCTGGAATGCTTTATAGATTCTAGGGGTTGATCTCCAGTCTAGTGTACAGCTGACCAAGATGTCCCCCCCATGCTCCGCTGTCTCTTCATTCTGATTGTCTCTTTCCTATGCGGAAGCTTTTCAAGTGCCTGCAGTGTGTCAGGTCTCAACCTGTGGGTCTCGACTGCTTGGGGTTGACCGACCCTTTCTCAAAGGTCACCTAAGGCCATCTGAAAACACAGATATTTACATTACGATTCATAACAGTAGTAAAATGACAGTTATGAAGTAGCGGCGAAAATAATGTTATGGTTGGGGGTCAGCACAACGTGAGGAACTGTATTAAAGGGTGGCAGTGTTAGGAAGGTTGAGAACCACTGCTTTAGATCATCTGCCATTGGTGCAGCTGCTATGGAAATCAGTATGGAGATGTGTGGGGCGTTTACCCACCACCCCCACAGTTCCCCAGAGTTTTCTTGAGTGCGAGCAGCAGGAAATATTAGATAGAAGGATTTATAGAATCTTAAGGAGATAAACAGATAGAAAATAAAGGATAGCCTCGAGAGGGCCTGGAACCTATTCCAACGGGCCCCGACTGTCTCTGCCCCAGGGTTTTTATAGAGATGCCAAGGGGTGGAGCAAAAGACCTCCTCCCCCAGCACAGCCAAGTGCAGACCATCTCAGACACCTGCACTCAGGCCCGTGGTCCTAATCATCCTCTATGCAGACCTGCTGGGTAAAGCCACGAGGAACCCGAGAATGGGCTCCCACAGAGATGCTCCCCCAAAACATGAAAAATGGAACTACCATATGACCCAGCTGTCACATCCTTGAATCCCTATACCTGAAGGATTCTGTGTCAACATACCACAGGGAAACTTGCATGCCCATATTTTTGTTGCATTATTTCCTGTAGCTTAAAAAAACAAAACCAGCTTACAAGACCATCTAGGACAAATAAAATGTGGTACATGTACAGAATGAAATCATGACACATGAAAAGTAAATGGAGCTGGGGGTCACACTGCAAAATAAGCCAGACTCAGAACATACAAATACATACAAATAGTGTATGTTTTTCTCTCGTGTGCAGAATGTAGATGTGTGTGTGTGTGTGTGTGTGTGTGTGTGTGTGTGTGTGTGTGTGTGTGTGTGTGTGTGTGTGTTTAGGACATGAAATTAAAAACAGGATATGAAAGAGGAAGAAGAGAGCTTTAGAGAGGAAGAGAGGATTAAAAACCCCCACACATATCATGTCATACTGTGCATGGTGGAGTAAACCCTTCACTCATGAGGCAGAGGCAGGCTCTTCCATGTAGGGAATTCTAGGCTAGTCAGGCTATCCAGTAAGACCCTGTCTCAAAAAAAAAATTAGAATATATATGACATGAAATCAGAAGGGAGACTATTTGTGAGGAAGAGGGTGACTAGCAAGAAAGTGAGGGGTGGGGCAGTGGAGGGTAGGGATGAATACGGACAAAATGTCAGGATAAATAGGTATGAAAATGCCATCATGAAACAAACTCATCACTCTGTCTGTGTCCTAACTATATATGTAAAACTTACCTTTTAGGGCTGGAGAGATGGCTCAGAGGTTAAGAGCACTGGCTGTTCTTCCAGAGGTCCTGAGTTCAATTCCCAGCAACCACAAGGTGGCTCACAACCATCTGTAATGACATCTGGCGCCCTCTTCTGGCCTGAAGGGATACATGCAAGCAGAACACTGTACACACAATAAATAAATCTAAAACAAAACAACAACAACAAAAAACAACTTACCTTTCAGGGGGAAAAAAATCAAAGGATGATTCAGATCTGTGAAGGCAAACTGGAAATAGAAAGGCTCCTCACCTCTATTATCCTCCATATTAGCTATACCGTGCGGTCAAAGATACTCAACATCCAGACATCCAGCACCAGGAGTTAATGGTGTCATCCATCTGCCATACGCCGTTCAGCAGAGCTTATAGCTTGTTTACTAGAGCTGTTCTCCGCTGTGAAGTTACTGTGAGTCAATTGGTATTTCTTATGCTGTTGGGTGTATGTGAACGTGGTTTCAGCACTTGCGGAGTACAGACTTGGGTTCATACCATAGCCAGAAGGAACTAGAAGTACTTTCAGTTTCTAAATCACACATTTCTCAAATGTTTTAATTTTTAAAGATTTCATTTTTCATATGTGGTGTGTGTGGTTTGCCTGTACACCCCATGCTTGCAGTGCCTGAAAAGGCCAGAAGAGGGCATCCGATCCTCTGGGACTAGAGTTACCAATTGTGAGCTGCCCTGTGGGATACTGGGACACAAACCCTGGAGCCTCCCGAAGAACAGCCGGTGATCCTAACCCCTGATCCGTCTCCCCAGCCCCAAATGTTTCAACTTTTTGTCAACGGCCCTTAGTCGCAGCACCAGGAGGCAGATGCAGGTAGATCTCTGTGAGTCGGAAGCCGGCATGGTCTGTAAGTTCAAGGACAGCCTGGTCCATATAGTGAGTTCCAGGACAGCCAGAACTAGCTACATAGTAAGACCCTATCTCAAAAAGAAAAGATTTTGGCCTTCTGGCTCTCTGGCCTCTCAGGATGCCCTCTTATAACACCCCATGTCCTGCCATATTCGAAAGCCCGTCAAAAGATGCCCTCCCTCAGTCTTGGACTTCCCAGGACTCAGAACAGTGGGCCATATAGATTTCTTTTTTTTTTTTTTTATTAATTTATTTATTATGTATGCAGTGTTCTGCCTGCATGCCAGAAGAGGGCGCCAGATCTCATTACAGATGGTTGTGAGCCACCCTGTGGTTGCTGGGAATTGAACTCTGGACCTCTGGAAGAACAGTCAGTGCTCTTAACCTCTGAGCCATCTCTCCAGCCCCGTATAGATTTCTGTTTGCTACGAATTACCCGGCCTGAAGTATTCTGATGTACCAGCACAGGGGACTGAGACAGGGTCTTTGATGGAAGAGGAATTGGTTCTCTCTTTCTACCATGTGGGTTCCAGGGACCAATTCAGGTTGTTGAGCTTGGCGGCAAGCACCTTTACCCTCTGAGCCATCTCACTGTACGCTCCCCTCCCCCATTTTCCAGACAAGGTTTCTCTGTGTCACAGCCCTGGCTGTCTTGGAACTCATTCTGTAGACCAGGTTGGCCTCAAACTCACAGAGATCCATCTGCCTCTGCCTCCCGAGTGCTGGGATTAAAGGCGTGCGCCACCACCGCCCATCACTGCCCCCCTTTTACATTCTTTTCTAACCTTGGCTTTGGATCAATGATCCAGCTTCCGGGAGGAATTCCAAAAAACGATCCGAGTGTCCTAGCCCCCGTGGACCAATGCCGGAACCTGGCTCCATGACCCATTGTTTCTTGTGGCCCGGCATCTGTATCCCCTCCTCCTCCAGTCCTTGGTCTAGAGCCCAGGGGGATCCAGGCACACTCCTCTCACAGAGCCGTGTGGGGTCAGGTGGCCCCAGTGACCTGGAAGCATATTTGACTGAATCGCAGGCTGTGGCGACTGCTCTGTCAGTTCGGCCTGGATCTCTCTACCCTTTCCCTCCCTTCCTTCTGCACCAGCCCTGCCGGCTCTGGGTGGGAGGGGCAGGGGGAAATTTGCATCATGGGACAGCTGGAGGGCTTTTAGGGACTGCTCCATCAAGCCATGGCCTCTCTAGCTTTCTCCCAGCTGCTCCTGGCCATGACTCTTCTCCGGCTGGAGTTGGAGTCAACATTTGTCCCCACAGTCCAGTCAGTAAGTACTGGGATGAGGACCCCGGGGACATCTGCAGAGACCACAACCTGAACCTCAGATTGTGAGGGACCACAAGGTGTGGGATGAGAGGACAGGTGGAGGGAAGGAACCAGCTGGCATGACCCCTCAAAGAAGCCAGCCTTCCTGCCCAGGGTGACGGGACACTCCCATGCCTTTATCTGAGACCCTACGAAGTCCTGTGGCACCTGCTGCACTTTGGACAAAGGCTCTTCTGGCCAGACTGGCAATTTATAATGAACTGAAAAGAAAACCTTTGCAGGCCGGAAGCTTATTGGCATAGAGGACGGGAGAAAGTCTGGGAGGAAGCGGTAGAGCCTGGGCTTGTATTTTATAATCTGTGTCCTCCCGGGAAGGCATGGATATCATTCTTTACTTACCCACAACTCCAAAGCTATTGCAGTCCCCAGATCTGAATTCCTATTGGTATCTGAGTCTTATCTATACCTGATCCTTATCTACATCTGTTTATGTTATATCCATATCTATGGATCTTCCAAGTTTTCTTTACTTTCTTGTTTTTATTTTTGTGTGTGTGTGTGTGTGCATATTTTGTTGCCTAGGCTGGTCTTGAACTCTTGAGCTTAAGGGATGTTCCTGCCTCATTATCTTAAGTGCTGGGATTACAGGCATGAGCCACCATACCTGGTTTCCTTCTGGTTTTATTATTTATATTTTGGGGGTGGTTGTTGTGAGGTTTTTTTTTTTTTTTTTTTTTTTTTTTGAGATAAAAGTTCACTCTGTAGCCCAAGCTGGTCTGGAACACACTATGTAGCCCAGGCTGACCTTGAACTTGCTACAAGTCCTGCTTCAGCCTCCTGGGTGCTGGAATTGCAAGTGTGTGCTGCCACCTGGTTTAGAGACGCATTGTGCCATGAGATTTTGAGAGGAAAGAGTGGGTTAATTCACAGGCCCCTTGCCTCCCTGTCGGAGCTCTGGACCCAGCCATTTCAATTAGCCTAGAGGCCCAGGGACAGGTAAATTCAGGAAGGAGCTAAGCAAAGCATGTTGACTCCCAGGGTGTGCCTGGTTCCTGGTTTCAGATGGGACTGCTGGCCCTGTCAGGGTCCCTGGGATTGTGTCTTTGCCCCTCATCTTCTGAAGGCCTTTTCTCCCTCCAGATAATTATATTTGGTCTCTAGCCTAAAAAAGTTTCTAAGAGACTAAGTCAGAGCAGCATAGCCAGGCTGTCCCTTGGGTGCCCCAGGAGGAACTCGGGATCAGCCGCTCCTCAGATCTCTCTCCTCTTGTCTCTTTCCAGGAACTCAAATCGTCAGCAGGGAATTCTGGGCAGCAACTGAACCAAAACAATGGAGTAGGGGGTGAGTGGAGGGACTGGTGGGGAGTGGGGGTAAGGAAGAGGAAAAGAAGAACAGGAGGGGGGCAGCGAGGTGGGCAGAGAGAGGACAGGCTCTGGGGGGTGGGCAGACAGGTCCTACACCAGCTCTTTAGGTGGGAGGCCTGGAGACACATGTGCACCTTTGCGATGATGACATGGACCAGAATGCACCTCTGCTCAGGCAGGAGTTGTGGCTGTCCTGCATCCTGTGTGTACCTAGGCAGGCTCTGGGAAACGACATCTGCTTGCGTCCCCAGAAACGTCCAGCTGAGTATGGAAAGGCAAAAGGGGCCTCACTGGGGCCTCACTGCCTCTTCTCTGCTGTCCCTTTGCGTCTCTAGAATTAGTGCTGGTCTCCAGCTTTGTACAGCTGGGATTTCCAAACAGGACCCGGCCACAGCAACTCCCTAAGAACTTTACTCTTCCAGCCGCTTGGACATTCCTTCGCCCAAGAATGCTTACTGCCCTTGGCCTTACAACAGGTAGCAGTTGGCTGGGAAAGGGGTTCCGTGGGAACAGTACACAGACTCCCAGCTCGCTAGCTAACCAGCTTGCCCAAGATACGGCGAGCTCTCCCTATTTCCCGAGGGTTGCAGCTGGATTAATTCGCCCTGGCCCAGTTCCTTCCTCATCTCCTTTCCTGACAGACCCCTCCCTTCCTGTTCATGCCTCAGTGTTCTAACTTGAGCAGAGGGTACAAGGGGCAGGCAGCGTGTGGGGAACTTCGCCGGGGTGTCCTCGTCCAGCATGGCCTGCTGCTCTGAGTCCCGGTTGCAAAGGAAGTCCCCTTGGATGGCTGGCTGGGTGGGACTGATCTCCCGGGACTTGGAGATTAGTGTCAGCCAGCCCTGAGACCTCCCAGGAATCAGACACTGGCTGGTCCCGCGGCCTCGCTTTCTCAGCCCGTCTGCCTCCGTCACAGAGTGTCGCGTCCAACACGACGGGACTCAGCTCTGCTTTTGCCGCCCTGGCTACCTGTGGAATGCTAGGCTTTGCTCCCTTTATCCCACCTGCCACAGCGGCGTCAGATCGGGAAAGCGATCTCTGCAGATGCCGCAGTTTCCACGGTCCTGCTCCTGGCTACTGCCAGGCGCTGTCGCCTGGTAAGGAGGGTTGGGAACTTGGAAACTAGTATCTCCAAGTTGTTCTGGGTGGTTGGGGTGTTTTGTTTGTTTGTGCTTTTTCTTTGGACCTATGTTTCTGGCAGCTACTCCAAGCCCAGCTACTGCTCTGACTGGGGGAAAAAAAAAAGAAAAGAAAAGAAAAAAGAAAGACCCTGAGCTTGGGACTTGAAAAATGAGACTAAAGAAAGTAGCTCTGGGCCGGGCAGCAGTGGTGTACACCTTTAATCCCAGCGCTCAGGAGGCAGAGGCAGGCGGATCTCTGTGAGTTAGAAGCCAGCTTGGTCTATAGAGTGAGTTCCAGGACAGCCAGGGCTGTTACACAGAAAAACCCTATGGGGGGGGGGGGGAGTGTGGTAATAATATTGTGTACCCCAGTAAAGCTTACCTGGGGATCAGAGGACAGAGCCAGCCACTAAATTAGACATAGAGGTCAGGCAGTGGTGGCACACACCTTTAATCCCAGCACTCAGGAGGCAGAGATCTGTCTGGATCTCTGGGAGTTCAAGGCCACACTGGGCTACATGAGAGAAACAGAACCAGGCAGTGGTTTAATCCCGGGAAGTAATATGGCAGGACACAGAAAGGGATATATATAAGGTGTGAGGAAACAGGAACTTGCTCTCTTGAGGTTGAGGATTTTGTAGAGGTAAGCTAGTGGCTGGCTGTTCTGCTTCTCTGATATCTGGCTCTGGGTTTTTTATTATAACACCTTTTAAAATTCGTATTACAAAAAGGAAATGAAAAAGAAAGCAGCTCTGAAGACATATAGTGGGGCGGGGCTTCCCCGAAGCAGCTTCAGCAGCCCCAAATCTCTGGAAAGCGAAAGTTGTGAGCCAGAGAACTTGGCATTTCAGTTCTCAGCGGGAGGGTCCACTAGGCTGAGGTGGAGCAGTCACCCTTGCACGACCAAGGAGGAAGATGTGCAGGGAGGGGTGTTGGAGAGGCAGGCTTCAGGAGATGAAGAAGGGGAATTGCTAGCCAAGGCCCCTCTCTAGCCCCTGTCTCTTACTTCCCCGCAGTTCCTGCAGACCTAACCCTGGACTCCCAGCTGCCTCGGGACACCCTGAACCTCATTCTCAAGACAGCGGAGGCCACCAACCTGAGGTGGTACTTGCAGCACCCAGACAACCACAAACGCATCTTCCTACGGCCAGGGACAAATGTGTTCCAGATGTCCACTCAGGGCCAGGCTGGCCTTCGTGTCGCCAGCTTATCCCGTTACTGGACAGGTAGCCCCCGACTGTCACGTGTCTTCTTTCTGCCCACAGGTTTTTGGTTTTTTTGTTTGTTTGGTTTTTTTTTTTTTTTTTTTTTTGGTTTTTTTTTTTGGTTTTTTCGAGACAGGGTTTCTCTGTGTAGCTTTGGTGCCTTTCCTGGAACTCACTCTCTAGTCCAGGCTGGCCTCGAACTCACAGAGATCCACCTGGCTCTGCCTCCCGAGTACTGGGATTAAAGGCATGCACCACCACCGCCCGGTGACCCACAGGTTTTTTGAGACAGAGTCTCACTCTGTAGCCCATCCTGTAGCCTCAAACTCACAGCAATCCTCCTGCCTCAGCCTCCTGAGTGCTGAGGTTACAGGCGTGCATCATCCACTTCTTTCTCTGCTTCTCTTCACCTCTCCCTGGCGCACCTCCTTCCTCTTTCTTCCTCTTCTCCCCGCTCACCTCTTCTGAACCTTTTCCATCTGCTGGGGAAGCAAAGGCAGAGAGACTCTCACAGTGCGGAAACATTCTGTACAACAGCTAACTGTTTGCATTGTAGTCTGGGGTTTCTAAGACCTTTTCTCCGCTTCACAAAAAACCCAATGTTGTCCTGATATACGAAGAAGTAAAAACACAAACAAACAAAAAAGGGATGATGGGATGATGATGTCACTTGCCTCTGTCTTGGGAATGGTGTGCTGCAGGCACTACAGGCTTTTTTTTTTTTTTTTTTTTGATTAGTCTTTGGGGGCTGGCCGCCAAATACACAGAGACTTATTACTTATGAATGCCCGGCCTTAGCTTGGCTTGTTTCTAGCCAGCTTTTTCTAACTTAAATTATCTCTTTAACTTTGTTTTGCCTCCGGGCTTTTTTTTTTTTTAAGATGTATTTATTTATTATGTATCCAGTCTTCTATCTGCATGTACCCCTGCCTGCCAGAAGAGGGCACCAGATCTCATTACAGATGGTTGTGAGCCGCCTTGTGGTTGCTGGGAATTGAACTCAGGACCTCTGGAAGAGCAGCCAGTGCTCTTAACCTCTGAGCCATCTCTCCCGCCCCTGCCTCTGGGCTTTTTATCTTTCTTTATTCTATATGTCCTTCTTCCCTTCTTACTCTGTAGTTGGCTGGGTGGCTGGGTGGCTGGGTGGCTGGGTGGCTGGCCCCTGGAGTCCTCCTCTCCTTTTTCTTTTCTTGCTTGCTCCTCCTCTTCTCTCAAGCCTAAATTTCTCCTCCTATTTATTCTCTCTGCCTGCCAGCCCCGCCTAGTTCTCTTTCCTGCCTCGCTATTGGCTGTCCAGATCTTTATTAGACCAATCACGTGTTTTAGACAGGTAAAGTAACACAGCTTCACAGAGTTAAACAAATGCAACATAAGGGCTGAAGAGGTGGCTCAGGGGTTAGGAGCACTGGTGGCTCTTTCAGAGGACCGGAGTTCAATTCCCAGCAACCACATGGCGGCTCACAACCATCTGTAATGAGATCTGGTGCCCTCTTCTGGCCTGCAGGGACACATGCAGACAGCACACTGTATACATAATAAATAAATACATCTTAAAAAAAAAAATCAAGCATTTAGGAAAAAAAACACAAATGCAACACATCTTTGCATTATTAAACAAATATCCCACAGCATAAACAAATGTAACACATCTTAAAATAATATTTCACAACAGGAGCAAATACCGAGGAGCAGGCTTTCTGACTGGCCTAGGCTACAGATGTAGCTCTGGTTGGTAAAGTGCTTACTTGCCCAGCAGGTGTGAAGCCATGGGTTCAATTCCCAACACCTCATAAATCAGGCATGGTGGTGCACACCTATAATCTCAGCGCCCGGGAGGTGAACGCAGGAAGGCGAGGTGTTCAAGATCATCCTTTAGTACGTAGTGGCTTTGAGGCTATGTGAAACCTCCAAAAAGGAAAGAGCCGGGGTTGGGGGGGTGGGGGGGGTGGGAGGGGTGGGGGAGCCAAGAAGACATAACATCAAACAACAAAGAGACCCTGCCTCAAACAAGGTGGAAGACAAGTGTCCGCACCTGCGATTGTCCCCTGACCTCCATACATGCCGTGGCACATGCCCACCCAAACAGCAAACATACTTGTGCATGTGCACACACACGTGCGTGCACACACACACACGCACAGAGATGTCCAAAAAGTCAATCTGAGAGTTACTACTTTTCAGGAAAAAAAAATAATTCCTGCTAAAGATTCATAATATAAGGGGATATTAAAAACTGAGACCACTCAGTTCCAGCTGAGAAAAGACTGGTTGGTGCTTGTCTAGAGCAGTGGTTCTCAACCTTCCTAACGCTGCGACCCTCTAATACGGTTCCTCGTGTTATAGTGACCCCCCCCAACCATAAAATTATTTTTGCCACTACTTCATCACTGTAATTTTGTTACAAATCGTAATGTAAATCTCTGTGTGTCCTGATGGTCTTAGGTGACCCCTGTGAAAGAGTCATTCAATTCCCAGAGGGGTCGTGACCCATAGGTTGAGAATCACTACTCTAGATACTAAATGACAGGGGAGCACTATGGGAGCGGGGCTCACCTTAGAGTTCATCAGCGCTGGCTAAGATGGACAGGCCAAGAGCCTTGTCTATAGATCTCTTTCTCCTTGGGGAGGGAATATTCTCCCAAAGGACCGTCCCGGGACCTTCTGGCTGGGAGTAAGCTCCTGGTGCTGAGCAGAGGAGGGAGAGCTGGAGCTCCTGGGCTGTGACTTAGGAAGAGGTGGAGAGCTGGCTTGCAGGCAGACCTGGGCGAGTCACCAGGCAGAGTGGGTATATCTCTGCAGGTACGTATATGAGCATCTTCGAGGCCCAGGGATTCAGGCGGAGGCTGGATCGGGCAGTGTGGGTGCCCTTGAAGATGGAAGACGTGGTTCGGCTCCCAGACAAGCTGTCCATCTCCTGTGCCGCCTCCACTGGCTTCCAGCTGAGCTGCTGCATACCGCGCACAAAACTGAACTACACTGCTCTCTGGAGTCCCGGGGAGGGCAGCCAAGGTAGGAGACCATCAAAGACGAACGAAGTGACGGGTCCCTCTGGGCGGCACAGGCTACAGTTTTAGGATGGGAGTTGGTGTCCATGTTCAACAGTATTCTCACCCCATCAGAGCAATCCCTGTTCTGTCGATAGAACCCTTCCATCACACAATCCCATTTCACGCTTGCAGTAAACTCCGTGAGATTAGTGTAATAGTATCCTGTTTTTAAAAAGGAGGAAACTGGGGTGCTAGAGAGATGGCTCAGTGGTTAAGAGCACTCGATTGCTTTTTCAGAGGTCCCGAGTTCAATTCCCAGCAACCACATGGTGGTTCACAACCATCTGTAATGGGATCTGGTGCCCTCTTCTGGTGTACATGAAGACAGAGCACTCATATACATAAGATACATGAATAAATAAACCTTTTTAAAAAAGAGGGGGGGGGCACTGGGGCTAGAGAGATGGCTTAGCAACTAAAAGCACTTGCTGCTCTTCCAGAGGACCCGAGATCAGTTCCCAGCATCCGTACCAGGTAGCTCACCCCAAATAACCCCAGCTCCAGCAGATCTTAAAGCCCCCCCTTCTGGACTCTGTGGGCATTGATGCTCATGCACATATCCACACAAAGATACATAGATATGCATATAATTCAAACTAAAATGAATCTTTTTAGCAAGAACAAGTATTTTAAAATATGTTGAAACGGAGTCCCAGAGCTAGAGACCCATAGGGCACACTTCAGCGAAACCCAAATTCTGTACGCAGTTGGATGCTGACATACCATTCAATTCTTCCTCACAGCTTTCATCCTCCAGGACCACTCTGAAGTGGCATTTTAGGACCTGCTTCAGCCAGTGATGGTTCACTTTTCTCTTCTTTCATTCCCTCAGCCTCCTTGTATAATACATCAGACTCCCAATGCCTGGTGCTGACTGTTCAGCGCTGCCCAGCAGCTGACACCACATATACGTGTACCCTTCGCAGTCCGAACCTGCCTCCTCTCGTGGCTCCCGTCCCCATCACCGTCATCCAGGGTATGTGGGCCTTGGGTCCCGTTGGCTGACCTCTAAGTGGCTTGTCCTTGGAACATGGGGTCTCTTCCTTTGTTGTTCCTTGTCTTGGGCCACTAAGTCAGGTATGGAGGCCTGCGTAGGTTTTGTTCAAAACAAAGGCCCTGGCTATATTGTGGCTGCTGAGGCCTCACTGATCCTTGTTCAGATAGAGACACTACCTGCCCCGAGGACTTCTCAGTGGTTGCCTGGAATGTCACCAAGGCTGGCTTCGTGGCACAGGCCCCGTGTCCTGTGAATAAGAGGGGCGTGGTAAAGAGGCTCTGTGGGTCTGACGGCATCTGGGGGCCCATCCAGAACAGCTGCACAGAGGCAAAGATCCTAAGCTTGTGTCTTGAAGCCCAGGTAAAGCTGCTACCTCCATGACTGTCCCAATAAACCGCACCTAACTGCCCGCCCACCGGCCCGTCCGCCCGCCTACCTGCCTACTTGCCTGCCTGCATTCCCTCCCTCCCTCCATGCCTCTCCTTCTCCTTCCCTTAGAATTCAGATTCAGGAAACTTTGCTGCTGTCGGCTTACCTGTTATTCAGCCTCTCCCTTATCTGGACCCCTAGCAGACCTAGGAAGGAGGAATGGGTCCTCTAGGGACTGGGGTGGGGTAGGGTGGGTAGGCGATTGTCTCAAACAGTCCCATCAAGTAGTGCCTGTCCCCTTAGCATCAACATCATCAGCTCCTTCTACCTGCCCATTCCTTCTTCTCTGAGGGCTCTGGAGCAGAGGGACAAGGAGCTGACTGAATTAGGGGGAAGATGTGGCTCCTCCCTGGAAAGGATTTCCCACTGTCTTTTCTGTCAGCTGCTGCTGGAAGGCCAGGGAAAGCCGGAGGAGGAGGTGCCGCGCATCCTGAAAGAGCTGCAAGAGCAGGTGGGGGTGGCCAGCACCTCCTCTGACTTACGCGAAATGCTGCACACTGTGACCTTCCTGGCCAATGTGGTAGCAGAGACAAGAACAGAGCTTACAGACAGTGCCCTGAAGGTGAGATTGTTGTTGTTTGTTTCTGCTCTTTTGGGGGCCCATCACTCAGCTCCCAAATAAATCACACACAGAGGTTTATTCTTAGTTATGAATGCCCGGCCTTAGCTTGGCTTGCTTCTAGCCAGCTTTTCTTAACTTAAAATTATCCCATCTACCTTTGGCTTCAGGGCTTTTACCTTTCTCTTTTCCTGTATACCTTTTCTTTCCTTCTTACTCCGTGTCTGGCTGTGTGGCTGTGTGGCTGGGTGGCTGGGTGGCTGGGTGGCTGGGTGGCTGGGTGACTGGGTGGCTGGGTGGCTGGGTGGCTGGGTGGCTGGGTGGCTGGGTGCCTGAAATCCTCCTCCTTCTTCTCCCCCGTCTCCCAGATTTCTCCTTCTATATATTCTCTCTGCCTGCCAGCCCCACCTGTCCTTTCTTCTACCTCGCCATTGGCTGTTCAGCTCTTTATTAGCCCATCAGGTGTTTTAGACAGGCACAGTAACACAGCTTCACAGAGTTAAACAAATGCAACATAAACAAAAGTAACACACCTTAAAATAATATTCTCCAACATAAGATCTCGGAGCCACGGGTTGGGGATTTAGCTCAGTGGTAGAGCGCTTGTGGGTTCGGTCCTCAGCTCTGGGGGGGAAAAAAGATCTGGGAGCCAACTAGGGGGTGGGGGTGGCTCTTTTGTCCCTTTGCCCTTCTGGTATCACGTGGGCAGCCCAACAGGGACCTTTTTGGAGTCTAGGTGTTGGCTCCTGCTTCTTCTGTCCTTAAAGACCAGTCTCCAAAGCCATGGAGAGTAAAGAAAGCCTGATATTGGAAGACAGGGAGGGGTGACGAGGCATGAGTTTCAGAGACACGCACGGGCACACAGCATGGGAACATCACATACACACACCATACATGATAACCCAATAGCCACAAAGACACTCAGACACCCTTGGGTATTGCCAAGCAGCCAGGCGGTGGTGGCCCATGCCTTTAATCCCAGCACTGGGGAGGCAGAGGCAAGCAGATCTCTGGGAGTTGGAGACCAACTTGGTGTGCAGAGTGAGTTCCAGGACAGTCAAGGCTACACAGAGAGAAACCCTGTCTCAAAAAGAAAAAAAAAAAAAAAAAAAAGACCCAAGATACCACACACCCTTCCTGTCACCCACTAAACTGCAGTGACGGCCACGCAGACCTCACGTGGCTCTCAACTTCAGGATAGTGTCCTCCCTTGCCACTGGCCACCATTCCTGGCTTTTCAGAACTGGACAGGTTATGGAGCTGAAGAAGGACCTTTGTAGAACTTGGGAGGTCCCAAGGGATGCAAGTGGGAGAAGAGGCATTAGGCAGAGGATCTGGGTGTGATTTGGAGACCGTGAACCCGAGAGGCCCCAGGAGCTGCTGACAGTGATCCATCCCTTCCTCTGCTCTAGATGGTCTCCTCACAGACCCGTCCTCCTTTAACCGTCTTCTCTCCAGCCCGGGGTCTTGCCGTGGAGGGACGGGGTGGGGGTCTATAGGAGCGAGGGCCCCTGGAGACTGGCAAATCACACGCCTCCTACTGTTGGTCACTCCAGGATCTCCTGACAACCACAGACAAGATTCTAGATGGGAACATCAGCTCTCTGTGGACTCTGGCCCAGGCCCAGGAGCCCTCGATGGGCTCAGATTTCCTGGCGGCCGTGGAGACCCTGGTCCACAGCTTGAGCCCACAGCGGCATCCTTTCCTCTTCCGCTCATCTAATGTGTTCCTGCAGAGCCAGCTCCTCAGACACACCTCTCCTCCTGGCTACCAAATGTCCTTCTCGGCCTGGCCCCTCCTGCAGGCACGGATTCCATGGCATTCACTGGCCCCGCTGGTCCGTAACGGAACTAATGTCAGTATTACTAGCCTAGTACTGCAGAAACTGGACCACCGCCTGCCCTCCCACTACGTACAAGGGCTGCGGGACACGCCGTACGCCACTCCCGGGCTGATCCTTGTGGTCTCCATCACAGCAGACGGCCAGGCCTTCACAAAGGCAGAGCTTCTCATCGACTTTGCAGACATGAACGGGACCCTGCACTGCGTCTTCTGGGACCACAGTCTCCACCAGGGTCAGGGGGCGTGGTCAGATAAAGGGTGCCAGGTGCACGCGGCCAACGCCAGCACCGCCACTCAGTGCCTCTGCCGGCATCTCACTGCCTTTTCCATCCTCATGTCCCAACACACCGTCCCGGAAAATCCTACCCTGGACCTGCTGAGCCAAGTGGGTGTCGGGGCTTCTGTCTTGGCACTGCTCGTGTGCCTGGCCATTTACAGGCTGGTGTGGGGCGTGGTGGTTCGGAACAAAGTCGCCTTCTTCCGCCACGCGGCCCTGTATAACATGGTGATCTGCCTGCTGGTCGCAGACGCATGCTTCCTGGGAAGCCCGTTCGTTCCTTCAGGGCACCACAGCCTTTCCTGCCTAGCCACCGCTTTCCTGTGTCACTTTTTCTACCTGGCCACGTTTTTCTGGATGCTGGCACAGGCCTTGGTGCTGGCTCACCAACTGCTCTTTGTCTTCCATCAGCTGTCCAAGTACTTGGTCCTCTCCCTGATGGTGATCCTGGGCTACCTGTGCCCACTGGGGTTCGCAGGTGTCACCCTGGGCCTCTACTTGCCTCAGAGGAAATACCTGTGGGAGGGGAAATGCATGTTGAGTGGGGATGGAGTCATGCTGCACGCCTTCAGCGAGCCAGTGCTGGCCATCGTCACCGTGAACGCGCTGGTCCTGGTCATCGTTGTGCTGAAGCTCCTGAGACCGTCTCTGTCAGAGGGACCCCCCTCGGAGAAGCGCCACGCTCTTGTGGGGGTGCTAAAAGCCCTGCTTATTCTCACGCCCATCTTTGGCCTCACCTGGGGACTGGGTGTGGCCGTTGTATTTGATCCAGACTGTATGGTCTTTCAGTACGTCTTCACTGTTCTCAACAGCTTCCAGGTAAGTGGCAAGGGTGGGTGCCATACGATGGTCTAAGTCACTGCCAATCACTGGGCTCGAGAATTTTAGAAGGGGATTGAATCTAGATCGCATTCCTTCACTGCCTTGCTGGATAACTCTGGGCAAACTATATAACCTCTCTGCACTCTGGTTTTCTTATGGTTGTGTCAAAGCCTAGAAATCATCAGTACTGAATCTTTTTTTGGAGCTGAGGACCGAACCCAGGGCCTTGCGCTTGCTAAGCAAGCACTCTACCACTAAGCTAAATCCCCAACCCATCAGTACCGAATCTTAACCCAATCTTAAGAAAGGCACTTGAGGGCCAGTGAGAAGGCTGAGCAGGTAAAGGTGTCTGCTGCCAAGCCTGACAATCTGGGTTTGATCCCTGGGCCCTAGATGGTGGAAGGAAAGAGCCGAGCCCCTCACATTGTCCTCTGACCTCCACGTGCACACTGTAGCATGTAGACAGCACATGCATGCACACGCCCACACACCAAATGGTGCCACCGGTGCAGAAACTGAGGAGGTGACTTGGGATATGGATCAGAAAAAGGGTCTGAGAATAGAAGGTGGGGAGAGGAAGCGAGAAGCGAGCCTCCCCCCACACTAACCAGCCCCCCCCCACCCCCTCTCCTCAGGGTGTCTTCATCTTAGTGTTTGGCTGCCTCACAGACAAGAAGGTGAGTACCCAGTCAGCTCCCTGCACTCCTGACCCAGAGGCCTAAATTCGATCAACACAAGTGGGTGTTTACCATCCCTTCAGGTACTAGAGGCCTTGCGCAAACGCTTCTGCTTCCGGGGCACCCAGTCCTCCAGTTCTGCCCTCTCCCTGGTGAGTTGCTCCGAGCCTCAGCTGTCTGCAAGATTTGGCCAGCCATTCTCCAGCCCTCCCCGGGAGAGATGGGCCCGGCTAGGAGAGGAGAGTTGCGCTTCTTCCTACAGCAAGCCGCTTTCAGGCTCAATTTCCCCAGCTACGGGGGTGGGGAGGTGGGTAGACCAGCCTGCATAGTCAGAATGGGATTTTGGCGTTCCCGGTGACCACCTGGATGCCTGGTGACACTCCTCTCCATAGTCTCCCACATCTAATACTCTGCTCCATGTTAACATTTGGAGGGAAAGAGTGGGGCTCCATGGAACCTATGTGGCTGATACCAAAGTTCCCGGAAGGGCTGCTGAGAATGTCAGAATGGTTCCACCCTCTTCACAGGTGTAACTGGGCCTCTCTACTTCTCCCTAGGCCACAAATGAAACCCACACCTCCGAACACAGCAAAGAAAGTGAGCATGCCAGGTGAGGGGCGGCTTTCTCAGGAGCAGAGTGAGTAACGGAGGTGAAAGACGCTATAGCGAGGGCCTCCAGGCCGAGTCTCCCCCACTCTTCCCCGATGTTGGGGGAGTGAGATCCAGAACCTGGATACCTAAGCCTGATGCCCCAGATCTTAAGGTTTCATTTTGAGAAAGGGTCTTGCTAAGTTACCAAGGCTGGCCTTGAACTTACTCTAATCAGTATGATGTGAACTTGTGATCTCCCTGCCTCAGCCTCCCCTGTGCTTGGATAACAGGCATGTGAAATCATACCTACCTCTGGCCAATTTCTTGGCAAGCGGCTCCCCAGCAAAGCCTTACCCCAGCGGGTGTGGCCATCCCTGCGTGAGCGGCAGAGACAAAGCATCAATAAACTGGGATCATCCCAGAGATCCCCTTTCCAGGATACCAACTTTTAAATTATCTGGAAAAAGCCTCGCCTCAGTCAGCTGTGGCGTGTATGGTTGTAAGCAGGAGAAGCAAGAGTTCAAGTCCAACCTAGGCTACATAGGGAGAGTCTGTCCAAACAACCACAAAACTCTATCTAGACCTCTATCTATATCACATATAATGTGTGTGTGTGTGTGTGTGTGTGTGTGTGTGTGTTAAACCAACCAACCAATCCTGCCTTAAATGACTTGCTTGCCCTTGTGGCTCTGATATCTGGAGAAGAGAGCTGTTTACACAGGTAAGGGAAAGTATTCTGTCCCCAGCCCCAAGCTTCAGGGCGACCCTTTTTTTTCCCCCCTGAGACAGGGTTTCTCTGTGTAACTTTGCACCTGTCCTGGAACTCGCTTTGGAGACCAGGCTGACCTTGAACTCACAGAGATCTGCCTGCCTCTGCCTCCCGAGTGCTGGGATTAAAGGCATGCGCCACTACCGCCTGGCCAGGGCGACCCTTTCTAACAGGAAAAGAGCCATTCCAGGCTGAACCATACGTGAGCTCATGTTCCTGTTGAGGGAGGTGAGGGTGTGTGCTGGAATCCACCAGATGAGTCCCAGGCCATATTCTGGGCACTCTCTGCTCTTTGCTCAGGGAAGGCAGATTTCCATTTCCATCCATCATAGGCATTCCCCATGCAGCTCAGCTGTCCAGAGCCCCTGAAGGACGCAAGCAAGATGCATGAAAAGAAGTAAAGCTACCTAGTGACCCGAGGAAAAAGCCTGCCTTTGCTGAAAAAAACAAAACAACAAAAGAAAAAATACAAACAGATGCTAACGTTCTAAAGAACGACAAGAAAAACAGTTTTAATCAGCAGTGTATATGTTACTCAACAGCGCATGTTACAAAGCAAGGAAAATGTCTTTAATGTCACTACTGACTGATTTCTTTGCTGTTTCTTTTTGATAGTTATGAAGAAAGGATGGCTGATTGACAGAAGGAACCTGTGATCTTCCAGACATTGAAGATGAAGGGCAGAATTCAGTTTCTTTGGGGACAGTATTTAGTTACAAAGTTCTTACTAATATAACTGCTTTAAAAATACTTCAAAAGAGGTCATTTACTAACCTATGAAGTGGCACATACATGACATAGAAAAAATCTGGAGTGATAGTGAATTTACCTGTTAAAGCAGATGACTGAAAATTAAGCAACAATGAAACTTTTGACAGTACTCTCTTAAACAGGGAGGAAATAAAAATACGTTTGTTTAGGCTGACAAGGGAGGAAACTGACTATTTTATATTACTAACTATAAAAAGTACTATTGTAAAAGGTAATGTCAGACTTTGGGAAGTCCTTTACAATAAATTTCTAAGTTTACATTTACTTATATAACCACAATAAAAAGCTGTCAACACACACATGACCTGTGTGTTTCATAGCAGAGCAATAAAATTGATGGCAATTTTAGAACAATCTCATAGAGAATATAAGCAATCAGTTTCCTTAAGATCAAGTGACTAAAATGTCTCTGAAGTAACGTAAGTTTTACCGATCTTTATATCTTGCTTTCACAACATATACAATGTTCTGTAATAGCCAGGTGTGGTGGTGCATGTTCTTAACTCCAGTACTGGAAAGGCAGAGACAGGCAGATCTCTGAATTCAAGGCTAGCCTGGTCTACAGAGTGAGTTCCAGGACATCCAGGGCTACACAGAGAAACCCTGTCTCAAAAAAACCAAACCAAATCAACCAAACGAACAAAAACCAATGTCCCGCAATCTGTCTTTCCCTGTTCTTTTCTCATTCTCTATGTTTATGGGTGTTTTGCCTACATATATGTCTGCGCACCACATTCATGAAGTGCCTAAGAGGCCCGAAGACGGTGTCAGATCCTCTGGAGTTACCCACGGTTGTGAGCCATCATAAGAGGTCTGGGAATCAAACCCAGGTTCCTGGAAGAGCAGCCAGAGCCATGAGCACTCTCCAGCCCTTATTTGCATCTTTTTAAGGGTTAGGAAAAGGTGAAGTCCTTCTATCTTTAACTTAAAAAAAATCAATATAAAATATCTGTATTGGGGAAATCTGTATAGAAACAAGGAGGCACATTTGAGTGACACCTGAAAGTGACAGGATCAAGGGAAGACAGAAGAGTAAGATGCAAGAAGACGGGACAACAAGACATCTGGCCAAATTAATGGAATCCTAAAGGGAGTGACAGGCTTTTGAGAAAATGCGTAAGAGCAGAGAAAAAGTTCTGATGAGTCCGTCTTTGTTGTAGCTGAAAGTTTTCCTGTGTCCCGCCCAGTCTGCAGCCGCTCAGACCCAAGTAAACACATAGAGGCTTATATCGTTTTTAAACTGTGGCCGTGGCAGGCTTCCTGCTAGCTAGCTCTTTTCTCTTAAATTAACCCATTTCTATTCATCCACATTTTGCCACGTTTTCTGTGGCATTGCCTGCGTCCCATTACATGTTGCTCCTTGGGCAGCTGGCTGGCATCTCTTTCTGCCTTCTTCCTGTCTCTCTAGTTAGAATGTCCCACCTAACCTTATTCTGCCTCACCATTGGCCAAACAGCTGTATTTTTCAACCCATCAGAGCAACACATATTCATCACACACAGAACGACATCCCCATCACTTTCCAGTTCATGTGATCCATGGATATTTTTATAAAGCGAGGTGGAAAACTTTATTGTTAAAATAAGATGGGAGGGTCAGGAGAAGGCTCAACAAATTAAAAGGCTTTGCCGTGTGAGCCCGACAACCTGAGCCTATCAGAACCCACAAATGGTGGAAGGAGAAAACTGACTCCCAAATGTTGTCCTCTGACCTCCACTTGAGTGTCCTGGAAAGCACATGCCCACTCACCCCACCCCACCTCACCCACCCACACACAAATAAAAAAAAAGTCCATAAAAGAAGTCTCCAGAGACAAATAAAAGAAAACACATTTCGAAGCAATTCCATTTCTAAGATGGCTTAAATAGTAAATGGGCAAGTGAGCAGATAAATGTCCACAGGCTGCACTCCAGCCTCAGTAAACATGTCTGGCTCCTCAAAGAGGCAGCTGGGAAGAGCAGTTAGGGTAAATCCATACACAGGAGGCTGTGTGGTCAGTAAGGTAGGGAAGTGGTCGGGCTACAGAGCTAAGCAAACAAAGAGCTCCCAGGCAGCATCACACTATGGGATTTTGTACAAATATGCCCTAAAGAGGAGAGAGATCTGATTTGTGAGCCTAGTCTTAATAAAAACCCGGAATCAGATATCGAGGGTGAAAGCTCAAAGATCAGAGAAGCAGAGCAACTAGCCACCAGAGACTTCTTACCTCTATGAAATCTCAGACCAAACGGGTGAGATCCTGTCTCTACAAATCCTCAGACTGAATGGAGGGTTGACATCCTGTCTCCACTGGACTTATATTCCTGTCTCCACATCCTGATGCTGGGATCAAAGGCATGATCCTCCCAAGTGCTGGGATTAAAGGCATGAGCTATCACTGCCCAGCTCTGTTTCTTTTAGACCAGTTCAATCTCAAGTAGCCCAAGGTGGTCTTGAACTCTTGATCTTCCTGCTTCCTCCTCTCAAGTGCTGGAATTAAAGGTGTGTGCCACCACTGCCTGGCCTCTGTGGTTAACTAGTGACTAGCTCTGCCCTCTGATCTCCAGGCAAGCTTTATTTGTCAGGACACAAACGAAATATCATACAACAGAGATCAGTGTTAACAACGGCTCCAAGGCACAGTTTTATTTTTATTTTTGTTGTTGTTCAATCTGTTACTAGTTTATTTGAGACTTTTCTTTTTTCTTTTCTTTCTTCCCCACCACCCCGTAGGGTTTCTCTGTATAACAGCTTTGGCTATCCTGGAACTCACTCGGTAGCCCAGGCTGGCCTCCAACTCACAGAGATCCGCCTGGCTCTGCCTCCCGAGTGCTGGGATTAAAGGCGTGCGCCACCACCGCCCGGCCTTATTTAGGACTCTTTCTCTTTCTCTCTCTTTCGCTTTTCGTTTGTTTGTTGACAGGGTTTCTGGGTGTAGCCCTAGCTATCCTGGAACTTGCTCTGTAGACCAGGCTGGTCTTGAACTCAGAGATCCTCCTGCCCATCTTAGGACTTTTCAATGAAGAAGAACCATTGGCTGGAGGGACTGGGAGGATGTTGGAATGGGATGATGCAAACCCTGGCAGTGGTGCTGTCCTTAGAGGGAATGCATTATGAAAGAGAAGAGGCTCCTAGACTGGTGGGCAATATCTGGAGCTGTACTGACTGGAGTCTATTAAATTCTCTTCCTTTTGTACAGAGGACTGTCAGATCAAACAGTTGCTCACCAAAGCAGAACACCACATGACAATTAAAACTTCCTTGGCTGCAGGAAGAGTACAAGTTTCAAGCCAGCCTGGGCTACACACTGAGCCCCACCCGGGCAACCCTGGTCAACACAGTAGTTAGACTTCCTCAGAAGCCATGCTTTCTTAGTTGTCCAGTTTATGTGTTTAAATATGCAAAAGATTCTGTACTTTTCCAAAGTAATCATTTCTAGTATAAAAAGACACATCTCAGTTCTGTAGGAGGAGTAAGTCCAGAGAGCTGGTGTGAAAACTGTACTTGATAATAATGTATTCTGTGCTGGAAATTTGCCAACAGGGTTTTGAGGTACTGTGTGTGTGCACATACATGCACACATGCACACACACATACATGAGCCATGTGAGATGATGAACTGGCTTGATTAGTAATCATTTACACACACACACACACACACACACACACACACACGTATCAAAACACATTGTAAACTATAAATATAGGGCTGGAGAGATGACTCAGAGGATAAGAGCACAGGCTGCTCTTTGAGAGGTCCTGAGTTCAATTCCCAGCAACCACATGTTGGCTCACAACCATCTATAAATGAGATCTGGTGCCCTCTTCTGGTGCATAGGCACATATGCAGATAGAACACTGTATAAATAATAAATCTTTAAAAAAGAAAAAAAACTGTAAATATATGTAACAAAAATATTAACCATAACAAATTCAGGAGTTGGAGAGATGGCTCAGAGGTTAAGAGCACTGTCTGCTCTTCCAGAGGTCCTGAGTTCAATTCCCAGCACCCACATGGTGGTTCACAGCCATCTATAGTGGGATCTGATGCCCTCTTCTGGCATGCAGGTAGAACATTGTATACATAATAAGTAAAGAAAAAAAGAAAAAATTCAAACAATAAAGAAAATTAAAAATCAAGTACAATACCCATTATTAATACTGTGATGTTTGAAGTTTTCAGGAATGCACTAAGAACCCTGCAACTGCAGAATTTGAGGATGGGCAAGTGTTGAAGCATGTTCCTGTAGAATTAGCACTCTGAGGCAGGAGGATTAGGAGTTTGAGGACAGCCTGGGCTACATAATGAAACTGTCTCAGAGAAAGAAAATGTACAAACAAAGGCTAGGAGGAGAATGGCTGAGAATTAGGATTTTCTCTGGGGACAAGGAAGGCAGGAATTTTCACCTGTTTTATTGGGTACTGCAGCTAAGAGTGCCTGACACACAGTGAGCAGCTGTTGATGGATAAACTATATAGACCACAGGAAAAGCGTGGGCTTTTACTCAGAATCAATATGGTCAGATGATTAACAGCTGGAGAGACGGGGTCAGGATTCTTTAAAGTCTAAATGAGAAGTCAGGGCCAATGAAGGGACATAGAGAAGCAGAGTTTTTTGTACAGCATCCTAGTGTGTGTGGTATTATTGTGGCTGTGATTTGTATTTCCAGTGGTATTTGGTCCTCTTTTTTTTTTTTTTTTCTGAGACTGGGTCTATATAGCCTTGACTGACTTGGAACTCACTTTGTAGACCAGGCTAGCCTCGAATTCTCTGAGATTACCCCTGCATCTGCCTCCCAAACGCTGGGATTAAAGATATGTGCTACTATACCTGGGTCTTTGGAGAAGTATTTATTCTTACGATTTGCCCATTCTCACCTAGACTGTTTTCTCTGGTTTTGAACTGTGGGAATCTTTATTCTACATATCCTTAGGCAGTGGTTCTCAACCTTCCTAACTCTGCGACCCTTAATACAGTTCCTCCTCATGTTGTGGTGATCCTCAACCATAAAATTATTTTCGTTGCTACTTCATAACTGTAATTTTGCTACAGCTATGAATAGTAAATATCTGTGTTTTCCGATAGTGATTGGCATATTAGAAATCAGTTCTATTTCTAAACTTTTCCATCAATTAATGGGAGCTCTTTACTGTCTCTTCATCTGAAGAGCAATGCTGCTGTGAGCGACCTGGTGCCTGTTTCCTGGAATCATGAGCACGTTGTTTTTTTTTTTTTTTTCAGGGCAGACTCCTAAGAGAATGTGGAGTGACAGACTTTGTGCCATATTCAAATGCACAAGACAGCGCCAGGCTCTTTTTCCAAAATGTCTATCAATTTGTATTCCCACAATCTGCGCTGAGCTTACAGAGGACCAAAGTTCAGTTCCAGTACTCACATGATGGCTCACAACCCTCTAACTCCAGCTCTGGTGTGACTCTCCATCTCTGGCCCCCAGGGGTGCTTGCACTCACATGCACATACCCACAGGCTAAAACATATACACACAATTAAAAATAAACCTTAAAAAGTAAGCTCTTGCGGGCTGGTGGTGGTCCACGTCTTTACTCCCAGCACTTGGGAGGCCTTAGACAGTTGGGTCGCTGTGAGTTCCTGGCCGGCCTGGTCTATGTAATGAGTTCCAGGTCAGCCAGACCTACATAGTGAGACTATGCCTTAAAAAGAAAGGAAAGAAGGGGAGGGGAGGGGAGGAAAAGAAGGAAGGAGAGAGAGAGAAAAGAAAAAGAGAGAGAAAGAAAAAGAAAAAGAAAGAAAAAAAGAAAGAAAGGAAGAAAGGAAGAAAGAAAGAAAGAAGAAAAGTTCTGTTTTATATTTTTCAGTCTGGTTGATTTTTGCCAGTCTGGTAGGTATAAAGTAAATTCTCATTATGGTTTTAGGTTTTTCTCTGAATCCTTTACTTATCATTTGAAAAAATGTCTATGAATCTTTTGTCAATTTTTCTATATATTTCCTATCTTCTGGCTCTATAGCAATTCTTTATATGGCTTGGAATCTTTGACAAATGTGTCCACTATATTTTTGCTTGCTTGTGGCTCATCTCCTTAAGGCATTCTAAGCACATGGAAAACAAAAATTCTTATTTCAACACAGGAAAAACTGAACTTGTAGTTAGATTTTGTGTGGGTGGATGGGTGCACGTCACATGGCACACATGTGGAAGTCGGAGAATATGTGTAAGTTGGTTCTCTCAGTCTACAATGTGGGTCCTGGGGACAGAATTCCAGGTCAGCCTGCTTAGTGATAGCACCTTCACCCAATGAGCCACCTTGCCAGCCCAATAGTGGCAAATCTATAGAACCTTAATGGCTGGTATTGTAGATGTCTTCTCCGATAAATTCCCTTCTCCCTTCAATCTAAGATCACACTGGAATTATTTTCCTAAATTTTAAGAAAAAAAATTACTCCACATATTTAACTTAATTCAGACTTTTTTGTTTTTTTGGTGTTGTGTGTACATAACAGGTTGAGGGGTACATGTGCCAAGAACATGCCTGTGATCCCAGTGCTGGGGAGACTGAGGAAAGAGGATCTGAGTTTGAACCCAGCTCATGCTACATTGTAAGTAAGACCTGGTCAATCTTTTTTTTTTTGGTTTTTCGAGACAGGGTTTCTCTGTGTAGCTTTGCGCCTTTCCTGGAACTCACTCTGTAGACCAGGCTGGCCTCGAACTCACAGTGATCCACCTGCCTCTGCCTCCCAAGTGCTGGGATTAAAGGCGTGCGCCACCACCGCCCAGTGACCTGGTCAATCTTAAACCTCAGCAAAGTATATAGCTTTTAAATGTATGAATAGTTACTGTGGTCTAAATAAGAATGGACTCCACAGGTTCATATGTTTGAATACTTGTTCCCCAGTTAGCAGAACTGTTGGAGGTGTGTCATTGGGGGTGGGCTCTGAAAGCCCAGGTCTCCTGCCTACCACAGATCAGCTCTCGGCTACCACTTCAGCTTCATGCCTGCCTGCCCGCTGACATACACCTTGCCTTGCTGATCATGGACTAGCGCTCTGAAACTGTAAACAAGTCCCCAATGAAATACTTTTTTCCCTATAAGTTGCCCTGGTCGGGGTTGGGGATTTAGCTCAGTGGTAGAGTGCTTGCCTAGCAAGCCCTGGGTTCGGTCCTCAGCTCTGGGAAAAAAAAAAAAAAAAGAAGTTGCCCTGGTCATAATGTTTTTTCACAGCAATAGAACAGTAACTAAGACAATTACCTCATATTTTAAAACAGAAACAGTGGAAGTATTACATTAGTGCTTATATATTTGTTCTGATTACTGTAAAACTTACCTCATTTATTAACCTGGCCATTAGGAAATGTATTAGTTAGCCTTTTTTATATATGGCACACCTGTAAAAATACCCTGTTTTATCTCTATTGATGGGTTTTTTTATTTTCTTATTACATTTACTTATTTATTCTGTGTGTGGGTGTCCACATACATGCACACATTTCATGGCACAGGTGTAGTGGTCAAAGGACAACTTATATCTTCTCCTTCCACCATGTGGGTCTGCTGTGGAATAATCCTTTTGTACACTGTGAAGATTTGTCAACCAACTGATTGGCCAGTAGCCTGACAGGAAGTATAGGCAGGACAACCAAACTAACGATGCTGGGATGAAGAAGGGCAGAGTCAGAGGAGTTGCCAGCCAGATGCACAACTAGTAGGACACACAAAGTGGAATAGAAGTAAAAGCCACGTGGCAGAATGTAGATGAATAGAAATGGGTTAATAGAACTTAAGTTGTAAGAGCTAGTTAGTAATAAGCCTGTGCTATTGGCCGAGCATGTATACTTTCTATTAAGTCTCTGTCGGTTATGTGGGACTGACGGATTCCAGAGATCAATCTCAGGTTTTCAGGCTTGGTGGCAAGCACCTTCACCTGCTGAGCCATGTGGCCAGCCCAAGGAAGTGCTTCTGATTAATGCCATTTTCCCCAACCCAAGAGCTTTTCTAACACACAAAGTCAACTTTCGCTTGTTAACTATTATATTTAAATAACTGGGAAAATTAAAGCATTTCTGAAGTGTGGTTAGTGGCACTGCTATAATGGCTGATTTTGTGTCAATTTGACACAAGCTAGAGTCATCAGAGAGGGGGGAGCCGCAGTTGAGGAAATTCGTCCATGAGATTCATCTGTGAGGCATTTTCTTAGTTAGTGATTGATGGGGAGGGCCCAGCCCATGGTGGGTGGGGCCATCCCTGTGCTAGTGATCCTGGGTTCTATAAGAAAGCAGACTGAGCAAGCCATGAGGAGCAAGCCAGTAAGCAGCACCCCTCCATGACCTCTGCATCAGCTCTTGCCTTCAGGTTCCTGCCTTATCTGAGTTCTTGACCTGACTTCCTTCAATATGAACAGGAATATGTAAGTGTAAGCCAAATAAATAGACCCTTTCCTCCTCAACTTGCTTTTGGTCATGGTGTTTCATCACAGCAATAGTAACCCCAACTAAGACAACTGCCATTGGTTCCTTGAGTCGAGGACTCCCCAAAGCATTCCTGGAGACTACAGGGATACTGAGAAGTCCTTTTCACTCTGATGGGCTGGTTATCCTCAAAGCCTGTTTCTTCAGCATAATATGTGGTAAATACAAACAAAATAGATGAGTGCAGCAGCATCGCTTCTCGGCCTTTTGGTCAAGATCAAGTGTAGATCAGTGCAGCATTACACCAGCTAGCCTCTTGTGAAAAACTACTTATTGCTATTTCTAGCAATGTTTTCTTTTTCCTTTTTTTTTCTTTTTTTTCTGAGACAGGGTTTCTCTGTGCAGCCTTGGCTGTCCTGAAACTCACTCTGTAGACCAGGCTGGTCTCAAACTCATGGATCCGCCTGCTCTGCCTCCCTGAGATCTGGGACCAAAGGTGTGCGCCCAACCAACCCCATCAGCTAGGTTTTCTTTTCTAAGTGATGAGGATTCTGTCATTTTTGCAAATGAACTTAAAACAACAACTTTTGGGGAAATTTTCATTAAATATCAAAACACAAAATGTAACTAAGAAAATTTAGATCAAAGATCTAAAAATAAAAGTTTGGACTCAGAAGAAACTTTAAAAAAATACATATCGCCGGGCGGTGGTGGCGCACGCCTTTAATCCCAGCACTCGGGAGGCAGAGGCAGGCGGATCTCTGTGAGTTCGAGGCCAGCCTGGACTACAGCGCGAGATCCAGGAAAGGCGCAAAGCTACACAGAGAAACCCTGTCTCGAAAAAACCAAAAAAAAAAAAAAAAAAAATACATATCACTCACATTATGGGCTCAAGCTCAGTGGCAGAAAACTTGTCTAGTATTCATTCATGACTTTAATTCCAGCACCACACAAAATCCCATACATACATACGATGCTTTAATTTACCAAGAAAACTCTAAGTATTTTTCAGAGGTCAACCCTTTGTTCCTTGCCCAAAAGCCCCCACACTACCCAGGGTGAGTCTGATAGCAACTTCCATACATTTGAGCAGCATTCAAACCAACATCCACAGCTGAAGCTAGAAGTTTTCAGAACAGCATAAATGTGATCTGTGTGTACAGCTGTCAAGAAAGTGAGAGGGTGGATAACAGTCAAAGTAAGTTCTTACAGGTGACATCAACTCTGACAAACAGGATCATCTCCAGTGAAATCAATTTGCTTCAGTTAAACAATGGGAAACGTATTATTATAAGGCCGGGTATTACTTACATTCCTGAAGTTTCACAATTGACTGAAATAGTTATAAGTTCTAAATGAGTAACTAAAGGTAAAGCTGCCCTTAAGTCAGAATGGCCACCTTCTCCCACTAATAAAGAAATGACAAGCAGTTCTCTCATACATTCCTATTTTATTAAGGTCAACCAACATGGCATTTATATATCTAAGCATTTCAGTTTTCAGAGATGTTTAGGTTATTTTTTCCGTAGTAAGTTAATATAGGCACATCGGTTTGTATTTTAGAAAAAAAAAATAATTATCTCTATGACACAGACAGGAACAAGGGGAATCTGCAAATGTTACAAGATGATTCCAAACCTCAGCTAATCTCTAAGTGACAAGAGAGAACAAGAACTGTGTACACATCTGTGATAGTCTGGAACCTGGAGAGCAGCAGCTGTGATTACTGGAAAGCTTGGAACACTGGCAAGGCTTGATTGCAAAGTATTTAAGAGAAGGCCACGAATGTTGTTTTCCTAAGAAGAGCTAGGAACTACAGGTGTCACTTGGTAGTGCATTGAAATGGCATTGCCCAGTGCGAGTGCTGCACAGAAATCAGTCACCTCCTCTAGAGCAATCACTTTGGATAAGCTTCCACTATCATAGCATGACCCTGCAAAAGACAAAAAGTCCAGTCAGAGTCATGAAAGCAATGAAGGGTGGCGAATCAGCCAGGATGGAGGCCAGCAAACAGTGTAAACACCTTTCAACGACTGTGTGATCATGGGAAAGTGATCATTCTGACCCCAATCTCCTCTACACAGTGGAGCTCATGGTGCCTAGTTTAGAAAGATTTTTATAAACATTAAATCAGACAGAACACCTTATATAGACACACATGTATTTATATACATGTAACTGACTATACATATATACACACACAGATACATATATGCACCAGACTCATTCTAATACAGAGTGTGAGTCCTAGTAAACGTAATAAATGGTTGCTTTTATTTTAGTTTCTGTGGTCTGGGGATTGATCCCAGGGCCTCAGGCATGCTAGGCAAGCACTCTACCACTAGGCCACATCTTCAACCCAAGCAGAATTTGAAAGGGTAAGTGACTCAGGCAGACCACAAAGCTACTGTTAAGTGAGACGAGATCTGAAAACAGGTGTGAGGATTCTGAAGCCTGGGCTCAGCTCTTCACTATTCTCTGGCTAAGAAGATGAACTGAGCATAGGGTTTAGGGTAGGAAGAAAGAGCAATGTCCCTTCTCCAACACTCTGCACAGCTCTGGGTACTAGTTATGACCCAGGTTTAAGCCTTACATAAACAGTTAGGATTTCCTATCTGATAAACACAGTCATCCTAACCGCTGGACTGCCGTCAAACCAGTATAGAGCCTCATGAAATGCCCAGCTTCTAGGTGCAATTCAATTCCCAGTAATATGCATTAAGAAACTCTTATTGGGCTGGAGAGATGGCTCAGAGGTTAAGAGCACTGACTGTTCTTCCAGAGGTCCTGAGTTTAATTCCCAGCAACCACATGGTGGCTCTCAACCATCTGTAATGAGATCTGGCGCCCTCTTCTGTATACATAATAAATAAATAAATCTTTTTTTTAAAAAAAAGAAAGAAACTCTTATTTATAAAGTACAAGCTCAATAGTAGGTGAGTTTGAAGTTCTGATACAAGACCTCATCTGGAACTCAGTTTACACATTGGTTCAAAACTTTGACAGCGCATAAGCAGACAAACACCGGCAGAGCAGAGGTCAGAAGGGCTGACTCACCTGAGCGTTGTCCAGAGGACTCGGGAGGCCGAGCACTCCCAGCTTTACTTATAATGCACTCTTTTCACGTTTCAACAGGATCAGTGGTTATCAACTAGGAGAACTGTCTCCCACCCTCTCCAGAGGACATTTGGCAATGTCTGGAGGTATTGCTACTTGCTTCAACTATGTGCCTACATATGGGCCAGGGTAGGATTGTGAAGAATTTGTTGCTATTGGAATCTGGTGGGTGGAGGCTATGTTAAAACATCCCACAGTCCACAGCCCACAGAATAACTGATCCAGAACATTAACTATGCCAAAGATGAAAAAACACTGCTCTAGGGCTGGAGAGGTGTCTTAGTGGTAAGAGCACTGGCTGCTCTTCCAGAGGACTGGAGTTCAATTCCCAGCACCCACAATGGCAGCTCACACCTGTCTGTAACTCCAGTTCCAGAATTTCTGACACCCTCACACAGACATACATGTAAGCAAAACACCAATAAATATAAAATAAAAATAAGTTATTTTAAAAAAGAAAAAAAAGTATGGCGGTTTCTCAGAAAATTGGGAATTGATCTACCTCAAGACCCAGCCATACCACTCTTGGGCACATACCCAAGGAATGCTCAATCACACCACAAAGATACATGCTCAACTATGTTCAAAGCAGCAATATTCACAATAGCCAGAACCTGGAAACAACCTAGATGCCCGTCAACTGAAAAATGGATTAAGAAAATGTGGTATAGCTGGGCAGTGGTGGCACATGCCTTTAATCCCAGCACTCGGGAGGCAGAGACAGGCAGATCTCTGTGAGTTTGAGGCCAGCCTGGGCTACAGAGTGAGTTCCAGGAAAGGCGCAGAGCTACACAGAGAAACCCTGTCTCAAAAAACCAAAAAAAAAAAAAAAAAAAAAAAAAAAGAAAGAAAAAGAAAAAGAAAATGTGGTACATACACACAATGGAGTACTACTCAGCAGAGAAAAACAATGACATCATGAAATTTGCAGGCAAATGGATGGAACTAGAAAATATCATCCTGAGTGAGGTAACCCAGACTCAGAAGGACAAACATGGTATGGACTCACTCATAAGTGGATACTAGATATAAAGCAAAGGACAATCAGACTGCAACTCACAGATCCAGTGAGGCTACCTAGCAGGGGGGACCCTAGGATGACTGTGGCTTATAATAAGTTTTGGTTTTGCCCAATCACTGGGCAAGCTTTAGAGAACATTTCACTATTAGGATAAGAATTTGTACTGTATCAAGCTGATGAAAGAATATGCTGTCTGTACTTTCAGGAGGGGAGGCTAAAATCTTTTTAGATTATGGATTAGTCTATAGGAAAATGTCTGCCGTAAATCAGTGAAGGGGAAGATGAATAGGAATCTGACTTACACAACTTAAGTAAAACATAGCTCTCTGAACAGATGAAGATAGGTTTCTTCTGTATCCCAGAATCTAATCAATATTTATATGTATAGTTCAGCTATCATTTGGCTTATTGGGAAATGTTATCATTTTTACTATTTTCTACAGAGAAAATATTTTCCAGTTTCAAATAACCCTGGACTTGAATTATAACCTATTTTTACGTTCAAGCTATCTGTGTATTATTTCTCCTGCAGTTGTACATAAAATGTTTTTACATTAAAAAAGGACAAATACTATAGAATTGTATTACATGAAATATATAGAATATACAAATTCATAGAGACAGAAAGATTAGACGTTATCTCAAGATGGAGAAGAAAGGAATATAGAACAATGATTTCCTAAGTACAGAATCTCTGTTTTGTGTGATGGAAAAGTCCACAAACAGACAGTAGTATCAGGACATAATATCATGAATGTAATAAATCAATACAATTTGTGTAATTAATAAATATTATAAATATAGTTATTGAATGAATACTGCAAATGTAATCAATGAATACCACAAATGTAATTAATATCATGAATGTAATTCATGCCACTGAATTGTAAACTTAAAAATGGTTACAATTGCAAATATTATGTTCATTTAAAAAAATAAGGTGGAATATAATCACCATACATTATATGTATATATGAAATTGAAGACAGCGATGTTCTAAAATAAAAAAAAGAAAGAAAAAAACAAACCACTGCTCTAGACCCACAATGGTGAATTTTGCTCTGATTTCCTAACCATGTTGGTATCACTCTATTGGCTCAATGAAACAAATTAGTAGCAAGTTTAAAACTTCTAAAAGACATTGAACGTTCTTCTTCAATCATCCACAAAATCATCTAATGTTATTTACATTCTGTGCAATAAAGCTGCACCAGAAAGGCAGGGAATCTGCGTGGACTACATGTGACAACACATCTCTCCCTCGAGGGAGCAGGCAGAGATAAGAAGCAGGCTTTCGCCTAAATCTGCAGTTA